GTTTAGGGGTTTAAGGGTCTAGGGTTTTTGTTGTTTAGAATTTGTTTGGGGTCTTTGTTCAAAAAGTTCTTGGGCTTGGATTTTCGGTTTTTGTTCAGAGATGTTGGGTCTTTGAGTTTGGGTTTCTTGTTCAGCAATTGGTCTTTTCACACGCCGAGAGCCTATGTTCGAAGATAGTCGAAATCATGATGCAGCACCAAGATGCGCATCTTTCTACTGCCGTACCAAGCCACCTGGCAGTTTCCCATGACCCTGGTGTAGACCTGAAGCATCGTCTCGAGCGGTAGCCGACTATTTGGAGTTGCGGCGCTTAGCTTTTGAATGCCTTAGAACCCTAAGCCCTCTGAGCCTGAATATAGCAGGCCTAGAAATCTTAAGCCTACAGCACAGCCTCGATGGGCTCATTAGTTTAGGGTTTTGAGTTACTGTAAGGGTTCCTCTGAAGGGGTCGATAGACCCCTGCCTCATATAGTCCTAAACCGGGTTTAGGGTGTAGGGTTTAGGGTTTATATAATATAGTGACACACAACCCATACCAAAACCTACACCCTGAACCGTTCCACAGGTTCGTGCAGCCCGGGCCCACGTGGTAGCTGCGGAGCTCGCCGAGGAGTCGGCAGCGAGGTCTGCGCAGCAGAGGCGAGCCTGGAAGACCTGTGGGGATACGGTTTAGTGTTTTAGAAGTAGGTTTAGTTTTTATACGGTTTTCTACTGTAGCGGTTTGCAAGGTGTAGTGTTTTGGGGCTAGGGCTTATAAGGTGTAGGGTTGTGACTGTAGAAGCTCTCGAAAGTGGCTATTGAAATCGGGTTTGCAGTGTTTTTAAGACTTTAGGGTTTTTTGAGCATGTAGGCTTTTTGGGTTTAGGGCTTTGGGTCACAGGATTTAGGGTTCTAGGTTTGCACCGTAACCTTTAGGGGTTTGGTGTTTTCAGGGGTGAGTTGGAGTGGGCATTTCGCTGTAGGGAGCGGGAGGTTCGGTCGGGCGATGGCGTCGTTCCCCATATCAGACCCCAAACCCTCAGAACCCTATCATGAAACTCTGCAAAACCCTATAAGCCCTGAACCCTAAACTCTATAAACCCTATAAACCCTATAAACCCTTACAAACCCCATAAACCCCATAAGCCCT